CTTTAGTTCCCCTTTTCTCCTCCTCCTCTCCCCATTTTCCCCCTACCCTCCTGATAACGCTACACTCAATATTAGTCCTGAGGGGTTTATCTGTCCTGGATTCTGTGTGTCAAGAGCATTATCTGTAGCAGTGTACATGCTCTGGTCTAGCCAGATTTGTAAGATAGAACTGAGGTCATCAAAGTCGGGTGGGGTGGGGGGATGAAAGCATTAAAGAAATAGAGGAATGTTGTGTGTTTCTTCAGTGCTATACTGTACCCTATATAGATAGATCTTGAAAGAGCACAATGCTCTTTCAGTGTATATTTTTGGTTTAAGACTTAAAGATTATCTTAGGGCAATAATTTCAAGGGTTCATTCAGCCTCCTTGATTTCAGAAAGTCAGGGTTCTCTTTGGATTTGAAATTCTGCCGGGCATGTTCCCCCTTTTGATTAGATACTTCCATTGAATCTTTGACGAAAGGGTACATAATAGCTAGACATTGCCTTCTCCATGCTCATTTAATGAAAAAGCCAAAACAAAAACCCAATTTAACTTTGGGATTATTAAGAAGTTATAAGCATAAAACATTTGCTATTAGTAGGCATAACAATTTTGATGTTAACAGAGTTGGTTTAGGAAGACTGTGTAATAGGTGAAGCTATACTGAAATGAGTACAGTTGCCTATTTGCTGCAGTTAGATCGGGCTGGTAAATGACTCTTAATGTAATTGAGACAAGCCCCCCCAAAGTTAAAATCTTTAGATCAGTAGTTTCTAAAATATTTGATAATCATTGTGATCAATGTAATTAAAATAAGAAAACTTTTGTTATTGAAAATTTTAAGCATCTTATGTAAATAGAGAAAATAATAGATGAGATATTGTGGGTTTGGTTATAGACCCCTGTAACAAAGTGAGTATTGCAAGCGAGTCACACTTTTTTTGTTTGTGCATTTAAAAGTTTTGTTTATGGTATATTGTATATTAAGTGTGTAATGCAATTTTTTAAAAGCTCAAAATATTGTGACACAGACAAGAATGAGCATGTACTGATGGAAAAATGGTTCTGATAGACTTGGTTGAAACAGGTTGGTCACAAATCTTCAATTTGCAAACATTTCTACAAACCCCACAAAATATGGAGCACAATAAATTGAAGCACAATAGAACAGCATGTCTGTTATAAATCTCAGTATACCAGGCTGTTGCATCAACACTTACAAAGAACAGAACAAATTTGTTTCAATTACTATCCTCATGCAACATTCCCTTATTTATTTTCCAATACATTTTAGATGAATTAATTCAGTTGTCAATAACTTCAGTTTTCCTTAATGTCATTATTCAGCTCATGTCCAAGTATCTCCTTGGGTGTTTATATAAATTTATGTTGTTAGGTGCCATCAAGCTGTTTCAACCCATAGCGACCTTATATACAACAATGCAATATGACCCGGTCCTGAGCCATCCTCACTGCTTCAGCCCATTGTTGCAGTCATTGTGTTCATTCCATCTTGCTGAGGACCTTCCTCTTTTCATTGCTACTCTCTTTTACCAGGCACACAATATCCTTCTCCAGGGACTGGTCTCCCCTGACAGCATGTTCAAAGTATGTGAAGACAAAGTCTCTCCATCTTTACCACCCTGTAGCAAGCACTCTGGCTGTACTTCTTCCAAGACAGATTTATTTGTCTTTTTGGCAGTTGTGATACTTTCAATATTCTTTGCCAGCATTATAATTAAAATGCATCCATTCTTCTTCGGTCTTCCTTATTCATTATCCAACTTTCACATGAAGTGATTGAAAATACCGTGGCTTGGGTCCTGGTGCACCTTAGTTCTAAAAGTAACCTCCCTTCATTATAAATTATATAATTTATGTTTTAAATAATTGAATTGATTGCCTAAAAGTCCATACACGATTCACACATTGTTATTTGATCTGTCAGGCCATGTATTTGTTGTAGAAGCCAAATAATTTGACCTGTACAATATTCTGTGATCTAGATTTGTTAGGTTTCTTCAAATTATCCTTTACCTTTCACTTTAACATTTTCTGCAAATTTATCGCATTTCAGATTTGAATTGAGGTGGAGGCAAGAATTATATAATGGATGGTGTTATGTATATTGGATTTCATCATATTAGGAGATACTTGATGTCTATAGTCTTTATGATAAAACTGTAAATTTTTTCTCATGCAACTTTATTGAAGTGTAGTTTTATTTACAATAGCCTATTTTAAGTGTACAGTTTAGATGCGTTTTGACAAATGTGTACAGTTGTATAGCCATCATCACAATCAAGAATAAGAGAACATTTTCACTGCTCAAGAAGTTCCCTTTTCACATTTCTCTTCCTTTGCCTCCCACTTCCAGCAGCCACTAGTCTGCTTTCTATCTCGATAATTTTGCCTGTTTTAGATCTCATTATAAGTGGGATTCTTAAAATAGTACAATTAGTATAATTTGTAAAAGGAGCATAAGATGATTTTGACCAGGAGCTACTGGTCTAATTTCCTTCCATTTTTATGTGACAGGGACTTGCCATGAGGTGTTGAAGCCTTGTTTCACTGAGTTGGAGAGACTGGACCTAAATGGCGCAGCATGACTTTGCTCCAGCCTGGCTTAATTTTCCTACTCCACCATCATCAACAAAGGTACTCTTTACTGTGCATCTCTCTTTTCATCTTTCTGTCTACCTCTTTTCATTCATGATTTACAGAAATATGATTAAAATATTGTTATATTTTAATATTTTTGTGGGAAAGTGCTTTTTATAGTGACCATCTAAATGATCTCATATAATTTGATTTGTTTTTGTCTTATGTAATTTTTCAGTACTATCAAAGTGTAGTGTACTAAACCATTTATTCTAAAAGTATCTTTTATAGTTGTCAAAGTTGAACAAATTTTGGGCCCGTTAGATATGTTTGATAGTCTGCATCTCATTTTTCATATTAATTCTTCTGATAAGTTGCTTTACATATTAATTTTTTTAATTGGAGACTTTTTTAGATTTCAGTATAAATGAAAGACAAAACTTTTTTATGTAAATAAAAAATTATGTAAAAAATTTCCATAATGCTAACATTTTGGAAATGATGTAAATATATGAGGACTAACTAATATAAGAAATGCTCATTATTTAAAAAACAAAATAGGAAGTGTGTGTAAAATACATTTATAAGTAGCTAGCCTGTACTCTGGTGGTGTAGTGGATTTGAGTTAGGCTGTTAACCACAAGGTTGGCAGTTCAAGACCCCTGGTCACCCCAAGGGAGAAAGATCAGGTGTTCTATTCTTATATATAGTTACAGTCTGGGAAACGTACAGGGGCAGTCTATAGGGTTGCTGTGACTTAAAATTGACTCAGTTGTCATCTGTGTTCAAGATGTGTGAAAGAGGGAAGTTCTCCAAGCACAGTGTTTAGCTGGGGTTTTGAGCTTCATCTCTTCCCTTTTGAAACATGTAGGCCACCAATGATCTTGAACAAATAATAGTTTGTAAATTAGGGAATTACTAGTGTTGTTATTTTTTTGCCAAAAGTTACACTATCACAGTGCTTTCGTTGATAGGGGGACATTTGATGCGCCTTTTCCCCTCATTATTTATTGCACAGCTATGTAACACAATCAGAGGGATATAAATGTAATTGTTAAAGGTGGTGCCATAGGTAAGTGTTGGGCTAGTAACCACAAAGTTAGAGCTATTCTAATCCACCAACTGTTCTTTGGGATGGGAAAAAGATAAGGCTGTGTGCCCCCATAAGGATACTACAAAGCCTCAGAAACATTTTGTAGGGTCACAATTGTGTTGGAATGGATGTGTTGACTGTGGGTAATTACATAAACGGTGTAAGGACCATATATAACCTCTTCTGATTCCCAGGTTGCCATGAGACAGGTCAGACAATCCACCTTTCTTTATCTCTCTCTACCATATTTTGATGGTAATCATTCACTATGATACTTTACTTTTCTGCCAGTCATTCTTACCATGATGGGTTGGGTTTGATAATTCATTGCAATAGCCATAAAGGGGGTGGACCTACTTATTAGGAAAGTCAATAGTTCACAACAAGCCAAGATTAGTAAGCCTTAAAGATAATAACAGCACCTTTCAGCCCTCACAGTCTCAGCATTGCTCCTCTGTTCTTTCTCATGCTCCCTTTCCTGCTGTCTAATCTCAACCTCCACCACTTTAGGCAGAG